GAGAGAGAGAGAGAGAGAGAGAGAGAGAGAGAGAGAGAGAGAGAGAGAGAGAGAGAGAGAGAGAGAGAGAGAGAAAAACAGGAGGGCTGCACTTCTGGAACATTTCCAGAACTTCCTTTGGCACAACAGTTGGTCAAGCTTGATTCAGTCTGATTGAAACCACACTCATGGCCATATTTAAGCACCTGATAAGGCCTGATATCGGTCTAGTTTGTAAAGGTTTTTATTAGGTGTGCATGTGCGAAGAAATAAAAGCAATTTATGGTGACATGAATAATTCCGTAGAGTTCCTAACTCCACATGGCTTCAATGGTAGCAGCCACAAAAGGGATGGACGGGAAGAAGTGGGAGGCAGTCAAGACAGGAGAATGAGGCGGGACACTAGATCAGCTCTTGCCCATGTGAAGAGTAGGTATGCCTCTAGCAGTGTAGAGACCACTCCCCAAACCAACTACACCTCTACCCCGATAGAACACTGTCCTCGGGAGCCAAAAAAAATCTTACCGCGTTATAGGTGAAACCGCGTTATATCGAACTTGCTTTGATCCGCTGGAGTGCGCAGCCCTGCCCCCCCGGAGCACTGCTTTACCGCGTTATATCGGGTAGTGTTATATCAAGGTAGAGGTGTGGTTTCATTTTACGTGTCCTATCCCCATGTACCTAGCCACTTGACTGGTGGTAGAAAGGAGATCCTGCTCCCAGGACAGTTTGGGGGCTGGCTCCACACAGGTTGGAGACTGCAGGACTCCCATCACTGAACAATTCAATATATATTTTAGACACCTAAGGAAATTTCCAGCCTGGGAACTTTAAAGTAAATTTAAAACTAAATACCAATCAGTTACTTAGAATGTTCTAGTCCATACAACCCCCTCCCCCCAAAAAACATTACAAAGCCTGAAAATTCAATGTGATGGCTGTACTTAAAGTCACTTGAAAGTTTGAAAATATTTGAAGTTTTTCAATCCACCTTAACTCTGCCCACAGAACCGAAAACCAAGCGATACTCTGAGCTTCAAGGTTGCGGATATCACAACATCAAAGATTCCAAACACTGACCAGTAACCTAACTAGTCTATCAACCAGAATACGGAAGTCAAGACTGCACATTTCCACATCTTTTAAACAGAAGGGAGTCTTTAAATAACTACAGTAAGCTTTTCTTCTGAGCTATATGCAGTCAAACTGCTGCAACTTTCAGCCAAAGACACAGGATTAGATTCCATTCCCCAGGAGTTTACAGGATTTCTAATGTGCAAGCTGTCATGTAGCAAGACTTAAGAACTTGTTTGTAAAACTATGAAGACAGAGTTGGAGCAAAAAGTAGAGTGCTTACATGCCAAGGACTCCTGGTGGTGGGCTTCACATGGGCATGCCAGATATTTTATGCATTAAACCATAGCCCCACACTCCAGCATTCCCTCTATATGGCTGGCACACTGTGCAAATAAAGCACATGGAGCAGATTCGTAAGATCTCTGCTGCCTGTGTTAGTAAACTGAATGGCTTTATCAAAACCTCCATCCTGCTAACAGGTGTCCACAGGGGGAAGGTAAGCAGAGAAAGGTGTTTACATCTTGCTGACTTTCAATATCCTTTTTAGGTTTAACTTAATTTTGGATTGCCAACATGTTTCTTTCTTGTTGTTTTAAACTGCTCCCCTCCCTCAGTGTTTACAGCTTAACTCTAGACTATTTTTGGCAGGGATTAGCACATGAATTGGGAGTTCAAACAGTAAGTGCAGTTACTTTAAAATGTTGCCTTTGCCCTAGTAACTGCACCCACCAGGTGTGTTGAGACATGTGGTATAACTGAACATTTGTGCTATTGCTCCACTGTGCATACGTCAGGAGTACAGGAAAGTTAGCAAGAGGTCAAATTAAAATAAACTGCTGGGTTGGTGTTTCAAGTGTTCTGTATTTCAGGCTCAATGCCATGTCAAAGGCTACAGACCAGAATGATCCTTACTGATAGTAATGAGGGAAAGAAGATGGAGGTGAAAGTTACACAACTTCAGTAACAGAATGAAATAAGCACGCCTCTTAAACTGATGTCAGACTAGGGCAATACGGATTTCTGCTTTGACTGACAGGAGGATTGGATTTATTGATAGCAAGTGGATGAAAACAGGCCAACAAATCCAGAAGAATTCCAGCCTGGTAGGGCTGTTATGAGAAAGGGACAATAGAGCTATTTAACATGAAAAAGTTAAGCTTAGTTTGAACCTAATGTAAGCAACACTCAGTTTGGTTTAATAGCAGAGAGACTCAGGGGACTAAGTGATAAAACCACTTACCAGCATGGAATCTCAGAAGTTTGATATACAGTATATGCAATCACAAATCAAAACAAACTTTTCAAAAGGACATATTTAAACCCTGCTCACAAGGTCAGCTGGCAGAAAAAGGCATATTCAACAGAGCATAATGGAGAGATGAAGACCATTAAAGTGGTATTCTATTTTAAATGTGGAGTCTCAATGCTATTTTAAAGTTTTAACTTGTGGATCAAATTTCCTCATTTTATAACTTGAAAAAAAAAAAGGGTTTTATAACTTACAAAGGCACATACTCATCCTGAAATCTGAGAGTTAAGCTGTGTTCCGGGCTCTTGTATCACAAACAGTAATAAAGATTGAGGACTAAATTCCCATCCTTAGGCCTGGTCCCCACTAAGCCCCCACTTCGGACTAAGGTACACAAATTCAGCTACGTTAATAATGTAGCTGAATTCGAAGTACCTTAGTCCGAACTTACCGCGGGTCCAGACGCGGCAGGAAGGCTCCCCTGTCGATGCCGCGTACTCCTCTCGGCGAGCTGGAGTACCGGCGTCGACGGCAAGCACTTCCGGGATCGATTTATCGCATCTTAACCAGACACGATAAATCGATCCCAGAACATCGATTGCCTGCTGCCGGACCCTCCGGTAAGTGAAGACGTAGCCTTAGTAACACCCATGCAAGTGCATTATCTTAAGTGGGATTGCACAATTTAGCCAGGGCAGCATTTAGCTCTGGAATTGTAACTTGGTTAACTGTTCTATTAATGCCTGAGCCAGATAAGAACCTGGCTCACTTTCCCATAGTAGTACAGGCTCTGCAGCACTAACAGAAGTAACAAAACATTTGCTATGTAAGTCCAGACTACATACCCAGAGCAGGGATGTAAGATGCCACCATTTTTACATGGATTACTTTCATTACCCTAACACTTCAAGCGAACTGAGCTTCCTTGAAGTCCGTACAAGGTGTATTATGGGCTGTTATCACTGCTTTGCATTTAGAGCCAACATGGTAGCTGTTTTTCATCTGACCCTAATATTGTTTTTAAATTAAATCTCATTATATGAATGGAACTGGGCAGCTGGGCTAAGAACATGAATTGGAGGAAACAGTGGTCTGAGTATGAAGAGCAGCTAGTTAGCCTTGATCTGGGGACAGTGATCACAAAGCTTCTTCATGGTCAGCTAGGAAACACTGGAGGATAAATGTGTATCACTTGGCATGGGAAGTAAGTGGAGAAAACTACTGACAAGTCTTTGGGATTCCAATGCTTCCTCACCAGGGAGAAGAAATAAGGGACCTAAATTCAGACACTGTCTTACTTCCACTCATCATTTTTGGTCCTATGAACACCAATAGCAGGATAACCCTTCGGAAGCCAACAGTATAATTTTGGTTTTGCAGTAAAAGTCTCATACTCACACGTCGATAAGGTCAGGTTTCAATACAGAAGGCACAGCAGTTTCAATGTTGTACAGTTTAATCTGGGACCCATACAGTGTTACCTTGACCAGCCTGCCAATAAAGAAGCAAATCAAGGAGTGTGTAGGAAATGTAAAATACAGATGTGCATGTACATCAAGAACAACCAGAATATACTTTATCATAACATGGCACTCAGCTAGACTGCACACTGACTAAATGTTTTCTCTCTTTTTCTCTCTCTCTCACACACACACACTCACTCTAGATTGTCTAGCACAACAGGGCCATTTTGCATCACAAGCAAACTTGTTCTAAGGAATAGGTACAGTATTTCTGAATGTAAGCACAGGACTATGTATAAGCTGTGATTAAACATATGCTTATTTGGGAGTTGAGGAGAAGCATCAAATGGAAATCTGATTCCAGCTCTTATATGTACTTTATCAGACAGACATCCAATGGAGATTTTGTTTTGGGTGATGCCGACCTGAAGTAATCAAATTATATCCTTAGTTCCATTAGGTCAGAATAGCTGCAATTACATCATGAGAGTGGACTCTTGACTTTCCCAGTAATTGTTCAGAATTGAACATTTAATAATCAATTATTGCTTATCTCTAAAATATGTATTTAAAGGATTACAGGAGGTATATTTGAGAAATTTAGCCCTGGTGAAGCAATACCTCTGGCATTTGATAGACTGACATTCCAGTTACTTTGTGGCAGAAGGTAGTTTGTGTTTTTTGCTATTCATTGTGGGGGTGGTAGGCCTTAAAAGTGGTAAGCAGTTCCTCTGCACTGGTGGAGGGATGGCAAAACTATTCCCTGATGCAGTGACCTTTTGCCTACCTCTCCACTACTGTAAGGGCATCGTTGAACCGGGCAGCAAAAACATCCCCAATAAAGTACTCGGCTAAACGGCCAACAGCCTGCAGCAGGGAGCTAAGATCTCGTAGGGAGCAGTGCAAGCGTCGGCAGTCATTCTCTGCAGTGATATTCAGCCTATGACCTGAAATGACATTGTGGTCCGTTAGCCAGAAAGCAAGGCAAGATTCAAGTGTAAATGCGCTTTGGTTTGCTATTAACCATTGATTAACATTCAGGCAGTTTGGAGTCTCTCTCTCTCTCTCTCTCTCTCAAATATTATAAAATGTAAGCACAAAGCACATGTAACCTATATCTGTAATAAATACATCTCTTTCAGATGAGAAACCCAATTATGTAGCTACAGGAAATGCAGAGTTTATGCTAATTTCATTACAAGCAGTCTCTAAATTAACTATCCCGTGGGTCACAGTTCAGCTCTGAGCACCATCATTTGATGGAAAGAATGAAAAAAACAAGTTTAAATGGACGCGGTCAAATATAGTTTTTGCAGATAGATAGAAGTTCTCACTACCCATCATTTGTAATTCTCTTTATAAAAGACTGAAAAGAAAGTTCCCCAGCCATTTGGCTTTTTCCATGTACTTTTTGCTTTGTTTCAGATTAAACTGTAGCTAACAGGTGTCTTTTTTTGGTTACTGATTGACAGCTCTGGGGATAAGGTTGTTAGTTTGGCTCCCTCTGCTGTTTGTCTATATAGCAACAGAATATAAAAATTCCTAGAGGAACAACAAAACCACATTTGTAACCTGGATGAATTAAATTCAGATGCAAACACAATGTGTGGCTAACCATCTACACTCACAGCACCCAGATACATGTAACATACTGAATCCTGGAATTTTTTCCCCATAGAATAGGCTATATAAGCATACTGCTAATGTATATGTTTATTTCTATTTTCCCAGTAGTACACAGTGTCACCTAGCATGGGACGCTCTGCTGGAAAATACATATTGTAATGCATAGGCCTAAGGACAATGAGGATAGCTGAATAATTTTCCCTGCTTTCCTTTCAACTGTTCAGATAAATATATTACAACAGCATATTTTTTCCGCTCATGCCAATTTAGTCTCAGCACTGATGTTGAAAAGTAGGAGCTATTTCCATCAAGATTGCAAGATGTGAAACTGCTAAGACATGCACTACATAGTATGATCCTGAAGCTGTACTTGAGTCTAAGCTGTCTGCTCTGATCCATGCCCCCCCTTAGATGAAAAGCCAGCTGAACCAACTTCTGTTATACACCACTGTCTATAAGCCTTCCATGAACATGTGTAGTGACAGTTCAACGTGGGAAGTGACCATAAACCTGGGTGCAGAACAAAATCCACAAATTGCTAATATCCGGCATGGTAAGCTTCTGGAGCCTTGTCTGTGTAATAAATCACTATACTCTACTGACCCATCGGGGCAGCCAGAGTACTAGAAAAAAAAACATTTGGGAGCCAGGGCCAGATTTGCAACAGTTAAACAGCTTAAAAGTAACGAAGACTGCCATCAGCATGCACTGCAGTGATTTAGTGCATTTAAAATGTGCTTATTTTAATATATTAGGTGGTTTGTGTTCAACTTCTCTAAGTGATAATGATGTGGATAACATGTACATCTTGTGATATTTAGCATACAGCAGATTCTTCTAACAGCTATGTCAGAAGGCTTAATGGAAGGGATACATTCTAAAGGGTTAGAGACATGTGTCTATGTAGTATAAATTGTACCCCCCCCCAATTAAATCTCTCAACCAGTTAATATCCCCCCACCCACCCTTTCCTCAGTTGTCAGAAACAGCCAGCCCACAAGGTGAGCCAACAGCCTAAAAGAGGGTTTGGTTTCTCCCTTTGGGATTAAACTCTTTTGGTAGGTTGGGAATAGTTTTATTCCTTCTTCCCACCAAGACACAGAGGCGCTTGGAATGGCAGGGAGCAGAGAGTGCTAAATCTACTGCCTCCTTGATCTTTTCATTCAAGTATTCTCAACTGATTTTAATTCAATCCTAAATAAAAATGCTCCCACATTGAGAGAGCTTGATGCTGAGTTTGAGCCCAAACCAAATTAAAACAAGCCCTTCCTGAATGGAATTTCTGGTGGAAAAGCTGATAGTCATTTAGCTATATCAACCATGCTACATTACGCCAACATTTCTGTGCTCCCCACCAGTTTTCTTGTTTCAAGTACCATAATCAACGAGAAAACATATCAATATAAACCACATTTCTAACAAAAAAGCAGATTCCTCAGAGCACAAACACCAAACCCATATTTCTGAATGCTGAGCCCTTATGCAGTGTGTGTAAGTATCCAGGCGTGAAGAATTTTAGGGTTAACCTCTAGAATATTGATGCTGAAGTAGTAATGGACAATTTGACAGCAAGCAGGAGCTTAATGCATGAATACAACATTTTTACAGCTAAGTGTATAAAGAACTGAGAAATGTAACATCGGAGAGTGGTATTACCTGTCCCTGAAGTGACCACAAACTGTTGTAGTCCCAGGTATACTTCCAAGTTATCCTGCAGAACTGGGAACTGAAAAGAAAAAAAAAAGGGACAACACAGAGGTGTGATTTTAATGTTAAGGCAGATAGACTTTTAATGCTTCTCCATTACAATTAATTTGGGCCAGAGAACAATTACTTCCCATTTTCTCCTCCCCCCGCATATTTAGTCTCACAAAAGGCATTTGGAAGAAGGGATTGTAGGTTTTGGAGGATCTGATACCTTAAGCTTTTCTAGTCTAGACAGCTAGCATCAAAACCAGAAAGGTCCCTGTGTTAGAGAAATTCCTCAAGTAACAGCTGTCCTTTCCACATCAACACTGATCGTCAATGCAGACATGACTGGATACCTGAGAAGGGCAGTGATGGCGCAGCACAGGCTGTTGCTAGTCATTATTGAAATGCACACGCAGCCCTGCATGGGACCCAGCAGTGAACAGAAGGTGCGGCTGCCGATCAGGATTGAGGTGCACATGCAGGGATGGGTGTGGAAAACTTGCATTGCACCATCTCCATCAGTTTGTCATCTTTACAACTGTTAATAATGCCACCCCCAATATACTCCACTTAAAAAAAGAAAAGAAAAAAGAGGTTGAGTCCAAGTGTTTTCAGTCCTTCCTTGATGTAGTATATGGGGAAAATGTTGCAGCCACTCTGCTAGCAAGCTGCTAACAGTAACACGAGTGGATGGATATCCTCAAAGAAAGGAACCAAGGGAAGGAACATCCTGTGTAAGAGGTTGTCTCCAAGGTCAGGTATTCAGAGCATTAAACTCCCCCATAACACAAAAGTCATTGGTAAACTGCATTACCAATTACTAGGAACACTAACTTGTCAACAGGATGTGCCTACGTGAAGGAAGATGCTACACACAAAACACTGAGTGTAGGAAATATCTTGGCTGGTTCCCCAACCGACCATGTTACTCTAGCAGTGCATACTGTACGTCTGTTCACATTGCCAGTGGCTAAGTCAACCCTAGTGTATTCCTCTGGAACTCAAGATCTAGCTTTTTTTAAACAGATAAATCAAGAAAAATAGGTCCCTTTCATCCCTTCTAACCTGGAATAATTCCCCTCTGATGCCTACAAGCAAGGACAGAGGTTTACCAACAAGAACTTTCTCCTGCTTTGAATACAGCCAAAAGCACGCATGGCTAAGGCTGCAAGTCTGTCACGGATTCTGTGATTTCTGGGACCTCTGTGACATCTGCAGCCACTGGTGCGACTGACCCCAGGGCTACTAAAGCCAGCCACACTGGCCACTGCTGGGGCAGTCTCTGGCTACTACACCACCCTCCCCTCCCCCCAGCGATGGTCCCAGGCCACCCCCTGCCCCAGAGCATCAGCGGTTCCCTGGTCCACCCCCCGCCCCTCCCAGAACACCCCTGGTGCCCCACCTCCAGAGCACCTAAGATTTAGTCAGGGGGTATATAAGTCATAGACTGGTCTCGGGCCATTAATTTTTGTTAACTGCCCTTGACCTGTCCATGACTGTTACTAAAAAGTATCCATGACTAAATCTTAGCCTACGCATGGCTTATGCTAAAGTTTTAGCAGTTTAACTCTTGGGACTTTATTGGCTCTTCTCTTCCCTACAGAAACCTAGATATCTAGGTTCGGTTTCTCCCTTTGGGATTAAACTCTTTTGGTAGGTTGGGAATAGTTTTATTCCTTCTTCCCACCAAGACACAGAGGCGCTTGGAATGGCAGGTAGCAGAGAGTGCTAAGTCTACTGCCTCCTTGATCTTTTCATTCAAGTATTCTCAACTGATTATAATTCAATCCTAAATAAAAATGCTCCCACATTGAGAGAGCTTGATGCTGAGTTTGAGCCCAAACCAAATTAAAACAAGCCCTTCCTGAATGGAGTTTCCGGTGGAAAAGCTGATAGCTTTTATATATATATATACATATATCACAGCTATCTAGATATCTACTCTGTTGAAGCGTGGTCATTCACTCCCCAGCGCCAGGCACCACATGCAGAACGTCCAGCAGATTAGAGACGGATTTACTGTGACTCAGTTTATTCTGGAGTCAATTTCACTTACTGATTTGTGGTCTAAAGGCTGGTCACATGTTACAAGCGCATTTCGCAAACTACTGTAACACGTGCATGAGACTCATTAAGTGTTTCTTGGGTTATCTAATGTCCTAGAATGAACTGAGCAGGACTCCAAGGAAAGATACCTAATACTGAAACAGGAGTTCATATGAAGGAACACAGCCACAGGGTTAGAATGTTCTTAAAAAGTCCAAGTAATATTAACAACACAGGGAAATGTTTTTTAAAACCATGTTTTCTTCACCAAATGCAGTTTGCTTTCTGCATTTCACTCTGCACTTACAGTGAAAGGGAGACCAGGCCCTTTCGCTATTGTTTGTAGTAAAGTTCACTTGCTGACTCATGCATTAGCAACGTGCTGCAAACACTGCAGGGGAACGTTTCTATTCATACAAACAATTCTTCATTGGAATTAAACAGAAATCTTTCCATGACTTTTTAGCACTAATCTTAGAAAAGATTTTTCACAAACATGCTTTTGGGACTTGACAATACCAATATGTGTAACGGTAAGAGAAAGCAAGTGAGCTTCATTCTCTTCTCCCAAACAAGTTTTCTGCTTTTCAGGGAATGTGTTCCATGCCTTCAGGTACGTAGACAGCTCCATGACATACCACAGTAGAGTAATTACACATGCTCAGTGATCCTAGTGAATTCAGACACTTTTCTTCCCATCCAGAAGGAGCATTGAACAATACTAACTGTTACACTTCTGAACTCAATAGTTTCATGTCCCAAGATTAGCAGCTTGAGAACCACGCTAACTGCTTTTCTCCCACACAGCTACAAGAAAAGGCTATTTCACAGCACTGCCATCTTAATAAACGCCAAGATAGTGACATTGTCACAGATGAAGACAAATTTTCAGTAGGGCTGTCAAGCGATTTAAAGAATTAATTGTGGCTAATCACGTTGTTAAACAATAATGGAATACCATTTATTTAAGTATTTTTGGATGTTTTCTGCATTTTCAAATATATTGATTTCAGTTACAACACAGGATACTAAGTGTAAAGTGTTCACTTTATATTTATTTTTTATTACAAATATTTGCATTAAAAATCAAAAGAAATAGTATTTTTCAATTCACCTAATACAAGTATTGTAGTGCAATCTCATGAAAGTTGAACTTACAAATGCAGAATTATGTACAAAAAATAACTGCATTGAAAAATAAAACAATGTAAAACTTTAGCGCCTACAAGTCCACTCAGTCCTACTTCAGCCAATCACTCAGACAAACAAACTTGGTTACAATTTGCAAGAGACAATGCTGCCCGCATCTTATTTACAATGTCACCTGAAAGTGAGACTAGGCATTTGCATGACACTGTTGTAGCTGGCATTGCGAGATATTTACATGCCAGATGCGCTAAAGATTCATATGTCCCTTCATCTTCAACCACCATTCCATAAGACATCCATGCTGATGATGGGTTCTGCTCGATAACGATCCAAAGCAGAACGGACTGATACATGTTCATTTTCATCATCATGAGTCAGATGCCACCAGCAGAAGATTGATTTTCCTTTTTGGTGGTTCGAGTTCTGTAGTTTCCACATCTGAGTGTTGATCTTTTAAGACTTCTGAAAGCATGCTCCACACCTTGTCCCTCTCAGATTTTGGAAGGCACTTCAGATTCTTAAACCTTGGATTGAGTGCTGTAGCTACTTTTAGAAATCTCACATTGCGTTTTGTCAAATCTGCTCTGAAAGTGTTCTTAAAACAAACATGCTGGGTCATCATCAGAGACTGCTATAACATGAAATATATGGCAGAATGCGGGTCAAACAGAGCCGAAGACCTACCGTTCTCACCCAAGGAGTTCAGTCACAAAATTAACCCATTTTTTAACGAGCATCATCAGCATGGAAGCATATCCTCTGGAGTGGTGGCCAAAGCATGATGGTGCATACGACTGTTTAGCATATCTGGTACATAAATACCTTGCAACACCGGCTACAAAAGTGCCATGCGAATGCCTGTTCTCACTTTCAAGTAACATTGTAAATAAGAAGCAGGCGGCATTATCTCCTGTAAATGTAAACAAACTTGTTTGTCTTAGCGATTGGCTGAACAAGTAGGAGGACTAAGTGGACTTGTAGGCTCTAAAGTTTTCACTTTTTTTTTTTTTAGTAGCAGTTATGTAAAAAAAAAATCTACATTTGTAAGTTGCACTTTCATGATAAAGAGACTGCACTACAGTACTTGTATGAGGTGAATTGAAAAATACTATTTCTTTTATCATTTTTACAGTGCAAATATTTGTAATAAAAATAATATAAAGTGAACACTGTACACTTTGTATTCTGTGTTGTTTTAGAAATAAATGTATTTGAAAATGTAGAAAAACATTCAAAAATATTTAATAATTTCAATTGGTATTCTATTGTTTAACAGCGCGATTAATTTTTTTGAGATAATCGTGTGAGAACTGCCAGCCCTAATTTTCAGTATTTCTTGCTTCTCCCTCCCTACGGTTTGCAGAGCCCTATCTCCCTACGATCTTCATCTATGGACTGCCGTGTATTTTAAGTTAACATTCCACCCTCCTTGGAACATCATCTCACCATTTGCCTTACATGCAGTACCTCCGCCTCATGGAAAAGCCAAGATGAATATGCTGAAGGTCACAGCAGAGTGTGCAGCTCTGACCCTTCAGCATATTCATATGTTCTTCTGGGCTTTGAGAAGATTTCTACCATATCTTGGGCGGCGTGCCAGAGCACACTTTTGTGCCTCACTCACTGAATGTACAGGGACATTTGAAATTTGGATCAGTCTAGAGATGAAAACTGGTAACAGCAGAGTGTGCAGCTCTGTCCCAGTTTTCACCTCTAGATTGATCCAAATTTCAAATGCCCTGGGACATTCAGTGAGTGAGGCACAAAAGTGTGCTCTGGCACGCCCCCCAAGATATGGTAGAAAACTTCTCAAAGCCCAGAAGAAAATCTGAAGCCTTTTAAATTTATGGCCTTGATTTTACCAAGATTTGAATCCAAAAGCACATCCCTGTGCCTCTTCTCCGTAAGCATTGCACAGCAACCTTCTACCAGTGTTTGTACAACAAAACCTTGAGAGCAGAGCTCATGTCGTATGTTGCAAAGCTGCTTCATCTCAGCTTCTCAGCAGAATGACTACTTACTAGTGTAGAGAAGGCATGAGTCGGCAGGAGCTCCATGACTTTTGCCACTACTTCTAGGCTCTGGCGTAAGTACCGCTGCCACTCAGTCTGCTGCTGTGGGGAAAAAGACCAGGGTAATCACCTCTTATTTCCCTCCAAGCGGAAAGTGGAAAGAGCTGGCCTATATTTAACAAGCTGGTAGGCCGTAAGTACTGGAGAAATGACTAACCTGTACCTACCAGGGTTTGGCTTCTGTCTGAACATCTGAGAATTGAAACAATATATAGTTTATAGGAGTTTCTTACTTTGTCAGCAATCTGAGCTGGAGTTAAGATTTGCAAGCTTTCATCGACAAAGGCAGTTAACAATACTAAGTAATTGTGCATCCATGTCATATCACTTTCTGGCCTTCTAGTAATTGTGGTGTCCTTTATTCTGTTTGTATGCTCTTATTCTGGAGCACATCAGTGTTATTCTAGAGCAAATTTTCAAACATTGTCTTCTATTTAAACATGCCCTCCCTTGATAAAAGGACCAATATAAAATAAGGGCTAAGTGTCATATGACAACAGTGTCCAAAATCAAAGAACCATTTTCTGCCTTGGTCTAAAAGAGGTTTTTTTTTTTTAAAAACACACAGAGGAACTAAACCCAACTCCTACAAATAATGGTTATTGCAGAAGTATACACAAGATTATTTTGCTATAGAGAAACTGGACTGACTGTACACTCTCTCAGCCTGGTTTCCCTTTGTGACAAGCCCACAATTTGTTTTACTTTCACAGCCTCTTTCCCCAACCCAGCCATATCACTAAGGACTGGCTTACTCATCACTCTAAATCATCATCTAGACTCACTACAGCTACCATGTCACTTTGAGAAGAAATACCATATGCAAATGGAAAGAGTAGAGTTCAAATGGCTCTTAAATTAAAGCTGATTTTTTTCTGCTTCATTTTATTTGCTGCACTATAATGGAAATTATCTGCCTCCACTGCACGCTAAAAACAGAGTCAGGCAGGACAGCAACACAAAGTCCATTAGTGAAAACATTTCATGCTTCTTTCAACCTCAAAACCCACAGAGCACTGTATATTTTGCTTCATGCATGTAACAGCTGCCTTCGAACTGAATATATTTCTGCACTTAAAATCTAGGTTCAGAGAGGCTAAGTGCGGAATCAGCACTGCTGATCCCTTAATGCTCTTGATTTGGAATGGTGAGGATGCTGACAAGTTGCTTAGACACATGCATTATCCTGGCAGCATTGAAACTGTTAAGATACAAGAGATATCAGCAAGAGGTGAAAATTACTAGTGTGAAATAGTGGTCTAGCCTGTATGTTGAAAAAGTGACCAGATCCTGGCAGGAAGTTTCAGAGGTACTCAGTACAATCCAGCAGTTTAGTATCGAGGCATGCAGTTTTCCTACCAAGTCTCGGTTTCTTACATCGTCATCTAGAGTCTCGTCATCCAGCTCCTCCAACTGTGCCTGGTTGTACCTGAATTGTATTCGATTCAAAACCTCTGTCAGCAGCAGAACCAAGGCGTCTTCGTACCTGCCAGGAGTGAAAGAAGAAAAGCACAAGATTGAGGAAAGGGAGTTCTAGTAGAATACTCTTGCGAACCCTCACCCCCTTCCAGTGAGAAGCAGTGGTAGGTCCTGTATCAGCTTAGGGAAAACCTTTGCCTCTCAGGGCCTACAACGCTGCCTTACAGAATTGTTTGCTGGGGAGACATCAGACATTTACAGTTTAACACTGCTGTGGCTAACAGCTTTTCTAAGCTATAGTATGTGCCATATGATGATGCAGAGAAACTGCAACAAGAACTGATAACCCACTCAACTTTGAAAGTTAGACAGGAAACTAACAGCAATAGAGGGAGCTGAAGAGAAAGAAGATCTGGAAGATAGCAAAGCATGACTTTAAATGAATGGTCTCCATTTGAAAGAACTTGCTACTAATTACGTGGCTCCTGCTTGCTAGTAGCCATTTAACTGTGCCTCTTTTCGAGGAGTGGACAGTGCTTTTAAATCATAGAAGATTATGGTTGGAAGAGACCTCAGGAGGTCATCTAATCCAACCCCCTGCTCAAAGCAGGACCAACTCCAACTAAATCATCCCAGCCAAGACTTTGTAAAGCTGGGCCTTAAAAACCTCTAAGGATGGAGATTCCACCATCTTCCTAGGTAACCCATTCCAGTGCTTCACCACCACTAGTGAAATAGTGTTTCCTAATATCCAACCTAGACCTGCAAAGATGGGTTATAACCAATGGTCAAGTTCTGCTTCTTGCTGCTAAAAAGCCAAGCAGAGATGCCAACCACAGTTATCAAAATCCTATAATACGGATAGGCAAACAATTAAATAACTTCAAAACTGCAACACCACTTGCTCTGACCACCACATTATTCTGATTAACCTTTGTCCAAGGGAGAGACCAACTTGTAAATGGGCGGGGTGGGAAAACCAATCCTCTAGTCTTAACTGTACAGCAAAGGTTCAGATAGATAGCAAGATTGTGGGCAGGTAGTAATGGTTTAAACTAGAAGGTCATCCCCAGAGTACTTATGTCTTCCAGTGCCTTCATGTGGTTTAGGCTAAGATTTTCAAAAACGTAAGTGCCTATCTTTAGGCATCTAAATAAGTGGCATGATTTTCTTAAGTGCTTAGTGCCTTATAGCTCCCACTGACGTCGTACTTGTTTTGCTGTTTTGAAGTTGACCCGTTATTGTGCAAGAAAGTCATGATAATTCTTTCACCCCTACAGCCAGCATCAGATTTTATTTACTCTCAAGATATCTGCAATGTAGCATACAAAAGTCAAAAATGTTTTTTCCCCCACAATCAACTACGAGTAATGCCAAATTGCAAAATCAACACAGAACAGCCCTGGGCTGGAACACAGCCAGCAGCCACCAGTGGTGACACAGGACTGTCAAGTTGCTCTGGAGACCCAATGTTTCCTACCATCCTTTTAGAAAACAACTGCTCTGAAGAATGTCCCAGGTCATGCCTTTCTCCAGGAAAGAGCAGGCTGGAAAACTAGGAATTTCTCTATACTAGTAACAAGAAGAATCAGAGCATGGTGCAATGTAAGGGACAGTCCAATCAGCTGTGCCCCTAACTGAGCAGTCAGATGCTTTCAATGAAGGGTTGCTATACTATCGGCGTGTTACTGAAAAGATGATGTAAACGTGGATTTGGTAATTTGTATGCTACGCTATTGGTTTAAATGTAAAATTCATAAACCACAGGTAACAGGAAGTTTCACACACTATTCCTGTGGTGTAACCACACCTACATCATCAAATTAAGACATATAAACACTTCTACAACAGTCTGAATGTTTGATATAGCCATAGAAGCTTTAGCTAAAAACAGGCACCTTTGCAGAAAGAGCAATACAAGTTTAGGCAGCTCATAGAATATCTTTCTTTGAAAATCAGAAATGCTATCTTCAACAAAAGAAGCTAATATTACTCTGATTTTTTCCTATATCACACAAAATGAATATATATAACTAGGCAAGGCATGTGCCCACGATCACTGTGGGAAAAGAGGGAGAAGAGGAGTGACCAGTGAGAATTCGGCATAATTGTGTGCAGCTTGGTGAACAGTTTATTGAGACTGGCAAGTTCTCACATCTGAACTCATCTGAAAAATCCAATAAAGCAACTCCCAGCATTGAACAGACAAGGGCTGGCTGGGTTAGCTAGTTTTGCACTTGTTCCTGTCAGAATGTCTTTTTTGGCAACACATCAGTTATTTATATTTAGCATGTTCACTGGGAAAGGAAGGGTTTTCTTGTAGTCAGCACAAACCACGACATGTAATGGAGAGTTTTAAATCTGCCTACTTTGAATACAGGTCTCCCTTGTCCTCATGCTAAGCAGTTTTAAGCCATTGGTGGAGATACTTGCCCAGAGCTGCCAAGATGGTGGTAGCAAGGGGATCTATGGAACAGGGGCTGAACCATCTGCTTTAAACATAAGCAGACAAGCAGACAAAGAGGACAAACTGCTAACTTTAGCTTACCTGATACATTGTGTTATAGAGGTTCAATTCCCTTACACCGATGGCGCTATTAAGTCATTTCTCTTAATAGAGAAACATTCACCAGGTAACTTTGTTTTTAAAATCCATAAACCATAAAACTTGCTGATTCATTAATGGTAACTATCATTCACTAGCTATATTCTTGGTCTACTATGTGTCTTAAAGCTAGGAATATGACTGAGCTCCTTTTTGACTTTTTGTTAGAAAATGTTATAATCACAGATTGTAATCAACAAATTTTTGTTTTTTCTGGTTTTTATGGTCATGCATATGTATTATGACAGACCCAGACCAGTGGGGTACAGGAGGGCAAATATACTGGTCACTGGATGAGTAGTTTTCTGTTCCCTGAGTGACCAGAGCAGGGGCTGCACTAGAGTAATCAGGAACCTGCTAGAACCAGTTAAGGCAGACAGGCAGGCTAATTAGGACACCTGGAGCCAATTAAGAAGAAGCTTCTAGAATCAATTAAGGCAGGCTAATCAGGGCACCTGGGTTTTAAAAAGGAGCTCACTTCAGTTTGTGGTGCGAGTGTGAGGAGCTGGGAGCAAGAGGCGCTAGGAGCTGAGAGTGAGAGGGTGTGCTGCTGGAGGACTGAGGAGCACAAGCGTTATCAGACACCAGGAGGAAGGTCCTGTGGTGAGAATAAGGAATACGTTTGGCACACTGGTGTTAGGAGTGGCATCTTGGGGTGCACAGCGTGGCAGAAGGAGGGTGATTTAAAAAAAAACCACACACAACAACAACAAAAAGGGAGAGGGTTTATTTTTTTTCCCCACCATAATGGATGACGTAGTGCGGGCACTGATACAAGGCGGCCCAGCAGGAGGCTACCCGTGTCCAGGCAGCCGCCCAACAGGAGGCAGTGCGGCTGCAGCAAGAGACTAATCGCCTGCTGATGGACCAGGCTGCTCAAGACCGAGCTATGTTGCGGGAACTGGTAAACCAGGTAAAGTCCCTTACAGAGCTGAATCGCGGCCATGATGGGACGTGGCTCATTCGAGCCAGCCATTGGCTGCAGAAAATGACACGGGAGGATGATGTAGAGGCATACCTTCTGGCCTTTGAGAGGACAGCCCTATGGGAGGCCTGCCCTCGAGATCAGTGGTCTGGCATCCTTGCCCCATTCCTGTGTGGGGAGGCCCAGAAGGCCTACCATGATCTGCCTGAAGAGGCTGCGGCAGACTACCCCCAGCTGAAAGCAGAGATCCTGGCCAGATTTGGGGTAACGACAGCAGTGCGGGCCCAGCAGTATCAGGGTTGGAGGTATCAAGACGACAAAACCCCGCAGTCCCAATTGTATGACCTCATCCATCTTGCACGAAAGTGGCTGCAAACAGAGTCCCGGAGTGTGGAAGAGATACTAGCGGTTCTGGTCATCGACCGATACATGAGGGGACTACCACCAGACCTTTGTGCCTGGGTAAGCCAGAACGAACCCTCCACCTATGATGAGGTTGTCGCTCTGGTAGAGAGGCGAAGGACAGCGAGGGAGCTGACCCGACCAGTTAAGGAAGAGGCACCCCGGGTTAAACTAGCAGCACCAAGCCCTAAAGTTCGGGTGACTGGGCCACCAGGAGGGCCCAGGTGGAAAAAGAGAGAGGCTGAAGGCCCATCAGAGGCCACAAAGAGTCGGAGCACTGAGGGAGAAGAGGATCGTGACATTAGACTGCCCAAACCAAAAGACCGGGGAATGCCTAGGGCTCCATACAGATGTTATGCCTGCGGGGACATATAGCTGCACAGTGTCCCAATGCTGAGGAGCCTATGCAGTGTAACCTGGGGAACTGGGCAGATCCATGCTCCCTAATCCACCTTGTGGGCGTCTCACTAACCCCACATATGTACATCAGACCAGTGAAACTATATGGAGTAGGGACCACAGAACTGGTTGATTCGGGGAGTGCTATCACGCTTATCTCAGGGAAGCTCCTGAAGCGTAGTCAGCTGCTGCAGGCTAAACGTACGGGGATAA